GCAGAGTGGACAGTGAGAGAGAGAGAGACAGAGAGAAAGCTCTTCCTTTGCCGTTGGTTCACCCTCCAATGGCCGTCATGGCTGGTGCGCTGCGGCTGGCGCAATGCGCCGATCTGAAGCCAGGAGCCAGGTGCTTCTCTTGGTCTTCCATGGGGTGCAGGGCCCAAGCACCTGGGCCATCCTCCACTGCACTCCCTGGCCACAGCAGAGAGCTGGCCTGGAAGAGGGGCAACCGGGACAGAACCTGGTGCCCTGACCGGGACTAGAAGCTGGTGTGCCGGCGCCGCAAGGCGGAGGATTAGCCTATTGAGCCGCAGCGCCGGCTTTGGAATAGATTTTTGCTTGTTGTTCCCCATATAAATCTATCAGTGTTTGAGCAACATTTACTGAGAAGCCTGTCTGCTCCATGCTGATCTTCTGGGCCAAGTCTGTAAAAGATGAAGTTTCCAAAGATGTTTGGATGTGTTTCCTCTGAGCCATGCTGTTTGTCTGTTGGGTCAACACTGCACTAAGAACTCTAGTTTTATAATACGTGATAATGTCTGGTATAGGAAGTTCTCCCAGCTAGTTTCCCATCAGGATTCGTTTTGGCTCTTCTTAGGATCTTTGTTGATTCATACACATTTTTATCAGCTTGTGATATTTTGTAGAACTGTAGGGCTTTTGGTTGAAATTACACTGAGTCTTTAGGTCTATTTGGTGGAGACTGGATGACTTTATGACATTGAGTTTTCCTATCAAAGAGTGTGGTCTCTCTTTAGATTTGCTTCGAGGGGCCAGCACGATGGTGCAGCGGGTTAACAGCCTGGCCTTAAGCGCCGCATCCCATGTGGACCCCGGTTCGAGACCCAGCTGCTTCACTTCCAGTCCAGCTCTCTGCTGTGGCCTGTGAAAGCAGTGGAGAATGGCCCAAGTCCTTGGGCCCCTGCACCCACATGGGAGACCCAGAAAAACCTCCTGGCTCCTAGCTTTGGATTGATGCAGCTCCAGCGTTGCAGCTAATTGTGTTTGAACCATCAGATGGAAGACATCTCTGCCTTTACTCTCTGTGTAACTCTGACTTTCAAATAAATATATAATTTTTTTAGAAAAGATTTGCTTAGAGTTTAGCATTTTCCAATAGTATCTCAGGAAAGATCACATTATTTGTAAAAACTATTCATAGATATTTTTGTGTTAAATATTCTTGAGAAATTGAAGTATTATTAGGTAGTGATCATATTTCCAATAATGCCTTTTTCCTTAAAATTTATTTTATCTTTTATTAATAAAGCCATGGGTGCTTTCCCATGCTAACATTTACCTGAAGGATCTTTTTTTCTGCTCTTGACTTTTAGCTTCTTTTTGTTCTTTTGCTTTAAGAGTGTCTTATGTAAATACATGTAGCTCGGTGTTAAAAAGAATCTGATCATTTTTGTCTTTTACTAGAGAGCTAAATCCACTTACATTTAGTATTACTGCAACTAAACGTAGGTAAATTTCTTTTGTTTAAATGTCCTTTCTACTTGTTCTACTTTTTAAAATTCTTTTTTTTTTAATTTTTCTCATCTTCTTTTGCTTTATCTTTTCCCCTTCTCATTTCATCTTTATCCTTTCCTATCTATTTGAAGTTATAAAAGGATACTTTAAAAAGTTCATGGGAGGCCGGTGCCACAGCTCACTAGGCTAATCCTCCGCCTTGTGGCGCCGGCACACCAGGTTCTAGTCCTGGTCGGGGCGCCAGATTCTGTCCCGGTTGCCCCTCTTCCAGGCCAGCTCTCTGCTATGGCCCGGGAAGGCAGTGGGGGATGGCCCAAGTGCTTGGGCCCTGCGCCCCATGGGAGACCAGGAGAAGCACCTGGCTCCTGGCTTCGGATCAGCGCAGTGTGCCGGCCGCAGCGGCCACTGGAGGGTGAACCAACGGCAAAAGGAAGACCTTTCTCTCTGTCTCTCTCTCACTATCCACTCTGCCTGTCAAAAAAAAAAAAAAAAAAGTTCATGGGAAATGGAGTTAAAGATAATTTTTTTTATTCTGGTGCAAAGAAAAATTAAAATTCATACATACAAGGAGTCTCCAAAAGTTTAGGAAAAATGAGTATTATGAAACAAACTATGAATGGATTTCAAAATCTACTGTACCAAAATAAACTTGTCTTTTAATTCCATTTCCATGAACATTTTGAAGTCCCTCATATGCCTTGTGCTTCTTCTTTTAGCTGTTATTCTAGGTATTTGCACATATATTCTTACCGAAGTCTAAAGCACTATCAGTATCTGTCCTTTCTCCCAACGATTCTGGGACCTTATCACACTTTCACACTCTGATTTCCCATGCACAGATAATACGAGATTACTCTCCAGAACTTCACATGGTGGTGTGAGGGGAGTCTGGGAAAAACATCAAGAAGACAGGTAAGCCCATGTGATTCTGTGTTAACTATGTTAACTATGCAGTAAAAAAAAAAAAAATAATAGAATTGTGTCTGGTTGGTAGTGCTCCCCACCCTATAGAAATAAATATGAATACTGAAGCTGGTGTGGTAGTATAGCTGGTTAAACTTGGAACCCTGGCATCATATAGTGGAGTGCAGGTTCAAGTCCTGGCTGGTCCACTTCAGATCCAACTTTCTGCTAATGCCCCTGGGAAGGCAGCTGAAGATGGCCCAAGTGCTTGAGCCCCTGCTACCCATGTGATGCAGTTCCTGGTGCCTGGCTTCAGCCTGGCCCAGACCTGGCTCTGGTGGCCCCTGGGGAGTGAACCAGCAATAGAAGCTCTCTCTCTCTCTCACACACACATAAACAATCAATCTTCTTAAAAAATGTGAATCCCCTCTGGAGTAACTCAGCTTCAACCCAGGCCTCAAAGGATTTCCACAGATAAATGTTCAAAGAAAATGGATGAATGGCTTAAAGATAAATGGCATGAGAAAACAACATACCAAGAGTGAGAATTCACAGAAATGACATATAGCAGAAGTAGCCTTAGAAAGTATTCAGGAAGTGGAATTATCCAACACAGGATATAAAATAACTGTTTTATAAGTTTAAAGAAATAGACAAGAAGTTCTAAACTAGATAAGAATTTCAGGTCCTTTGAACTTGAAAGAGAATCAAACAGAACTTCTAAAAAATGAAAAATAAATACCCTATTGTATTGGCTGTATACAGAATTTACTATAAGATACACCAATTTTATGAGGCATCAGAAACACTGCCAATTATCACTACAAGATTCCACTTGTTTTAAGATGCATCCTGATTTCAGAGTTGTTAAACTATGAAAAAAATGTTTCATTAACAATGAACTATAGTAACTGAAATTTAAAATGTACCCTATCAATATAATTTCACATTAAATCCAGCTGATGAAAGAACCAATTAACTTGAATAAAGAAACAAATATCCAATACAAATAAATTATCCAGAATGTAGGCTGGAGGGAGAGTGAAGTGGACATACAGCAGAGAGAGAGAAGGCCTCATGTGTTCCAGATGAAGGTAATAGAATGTGTGAGATAGAAGGCACTATTTAAAATATAATGACTAAGAAATTTTGAACATGGTGTAAAGAGAGAAATACCCAGACACAGGAATCCAAAAAGATTGTTAAGCCAGATAAAACATATTATGGTGCCTCTGAAGAATGCTGGCACTGTGGCGTAGCAGGTAAAGGTACCACCTATGAAGCTGGCATCTCACATGGGTGCTGGTTTGAGTCCCACTGCTCCACTTGCGGTCCAGCTCCCTGCCAATGTACCTGGGAAAGCAATGGCCCAGAATGTTTGGGTTCCTGCTGCCTATGTGGGAGACCTGGAAGAAGCTCCTGGCTCCTGGGTTTGGCCTGGTCCAGTCTGGGCTGTTGCAGCTATTTGGGAGAATGAAAGAGCAGATGGAAGATCTCCTCTCTCTGCCTTTCAAATAAAACAAATCTTCCTATGAAATTCGTGTTCATTAAATAAAAGCTTTCTTAAAAAATAAATTTAGAAAATTAAAAATGAGGGGCCAGTGCTGTGGTGCAGCGGGTTAAAGCCCTGGCCTGAAAGGCCAGCATACCATGTGGGTGCTGGTTCTAGTCCCTGCTGTTCCTCTTCCAATCCAGCTTCCAATCTGCTATGGCCTGGGAAAGCAGTGGAAGATGGCCCATGTTCTTGGGCCCTGTACCCGCATGGGAGACCCAGAAGAAGCTCCTGGCTCCTGGCTTCAGATCAGCACAGCTCCAGCTGTTACAGCTATCTGGGGAGTGAACCAACGGATGGAAGACCTCTCTGTCTCTCTCTCTCTGCCTCTCTTCTCTCTGTGAAACTCTGACTTTTAAATAAATAAAATAAATCTAAAAAAATTAAAAATGAAAAAAATAAAAAATAAACTGCAAAACGTCAAAGGCAAAGACTTCTGCAAAGAAACTTGGATAATACACTCACTCACTAAAGAACAATGAGAAGACAAACTGATTACTCTTTAACAGCAAAAGGGAAGCCAGGAGGCCGTGGGATGATACTGTCACTGTACAGAAAGAAAAAGAATAATCAACCTAGAACTTATGCCTAGTGGAGCTCTTTCAAGAGTGGGGTTAAAATATGGAAATTTCAAATACATAAAAATGAGAAGCTTGCTCAAGGAAACTTTTTTTTTTTTTTGACAGGCAGAGTGGACAGTGAGAGAGAGAGAGACAGAGAGAAAGGTCTTCCTTTGCCTTTGGTTCACCCTCCAATGGCCGGCACACCGTGCTGATCCGATGGCAGGAGCCAGGTACTTATCCTGGTCTCCCATGGGGTGCAGGGCCCAAGCACTTGGGCCATCCTCCACTGCACTCCCGGGCCATAGCAGAGAGCTGGACTGGAAGAGGAGCAACTGGGACAGAATCTGGCACCCCGACCGGGACTAGAACCCGGGTGCCGGCGCTGCAGGCGGAGGATTAGCCTAGTGAGCTGTGGCGCCGGCCCATGCCTTTCTCTTGTAGCACATACACCAGCTCTACTTGTATACTTATCTGGATGTTCTTTGAATTAATTGTCTACTTACCCCATTAGAAATGTAAGGGCCAGGTCTCTGATGCACTCTATTTGACTCCCAGACCTCAGCGAGTGCCTGGCTCATAGGAGGTATTCGGGAGCCATTTATTGAGTAAATGATCAGCCACATAATTAATTATGAATGGGAAGGCAGGATGAGGTATCGGGTCAAACACAGTTGTAGCTCTCTGCTTCAAAATCAGCCATTGGAGTCTGTGCATTTTAGGGTGGGTGAATTCCCACAGGACTCTGCAGTCCAATAAGGTCATCAGGAGCCACAGGTGGCTATTTAAATTTACATAATTTGAAGTCTGATAAAAGTAAAAATTCAGTTCCCTGGTCTCACTAGCCACGTTTCTAGTTGCCAGTGACTGTCTCATCAGACAGTGTGAACACAGAACATTTCCATTATCACAGAAAGTTCTATTGGAAGTGCTGCCATAGAATTCTGAACTGTCCCTCTCCCTTTCTCTGTCTCTGTCTCTCGCTCTCGCTCCTTTTCTCTCCCTCTCCCCACCCCCAAACCAACTTCAGGGATAGCGGTCTCATTATTAGTGACTTAAATTGATGCTTTTGAACCAGAAGACGCTGGGTGCTTTCGGTGACTAGCACCATCTCCATCCCTCTCTTCCCCATTTCTGAGTTCTGCTTCTTTTATTCCCGTTGCTACAAAGGCTGAATGTTGCCTGGGTGGAAAGCGTAATTGCTTTCTTTTCTAGGTCCTTAAACCCTTGGCTAATGTTCCTGTCTGAGCATGCCCAGAGCCAGGGTTCTAGGAGGGTCTGGCGCCTCTGAGCAGCTGAACCACGAAATAATGGAGTAGGGCCGGAGGGGTGGGGAGCGGGGCACTCTGTCGATAAAAGAGCTCCCCTCTCTGCACGCCTGGCCGGCTAATTGGCCATTCTGGGAAAGGATGGATGGGGAGGGGGGCTTCTAAGAATTGCTGGTGACAGTTAAGTGGCCTTTTGTTGACATCGTCTGCTGAACAACTTTGTTGGATTTAGTCTCTGCCTCCCCCTCCCCCCCATCCCCGCCGTGGATTTTCTGTTCGGTTCATCCTTTACTATTCAGGCATCATCTTTCACCTTCTCCTTCCACCATGACTGCTCTGGGTGCTGGCCCCTGCTTTCTCCCTACTATTCCCAGACCATAAAGGGGACTGTTGAGACCTCTAATATCGGTGGTGGTGGCCTTCCTGTCTACCAGAAAATGTACTACCTGTCCCAGCCTTATGGTGACCGCCTGGAGACAGAGCAAGGGGACTCTCAACTGAACTCCTGCTCAAACGATATATATTCCCTTTGGCCCCCTCTCCATTCTCCTCTCTTCCCCATCTTCCCCTTGCAACGGGAGGACTGAACTAAAATGCAGTGGTGACAAGAGTTAGTGCCTTTGAAATAACAATATATTGCATTTTGCAGGCTTTGTCAAGCCAATTCACCAAGTTGTCTCATCCAATACTCCCCAAGCCCTGTGAGGTAGGAAGGGGGTATTATTAACCCATTGGACAGCTGAGTAAACTGAGATTTAGGGAGATTAGGTCAGTAGCCCTGAGCTTTTAGATAGGAGTGGAACACGTGGCTCTCTGAGAGCAGTGTGAAATGGATGTGGCCCAAGGACAGTGCCAGGGGGCCAGGAGGGAGTTCACTGAGGAAGGAGGAACAGAGTGGACTCCTGGGGCTACCAGCTGCTCCCCTGTGTCCACAGAGGGGGCACTGGATGCCCGTCGAGACAGGAAAGGGGAGCCAAGGGCCTTGTCTTCTTCCCCTTTCTTCCTTCTAGAAAGGGGGGGCAGCTCTAGCTCTCCTGGGGCCTGGCGTATGGGAGGCCCATGCTGGGTCTCCCCAGGGGGAGCCTGACACCTGTCTCAGGCCGGCCCTACCGGCCTTTAGGTGCTGTGCTGTGCTGAGGCCGGTCCATGCCTGGGCCCCAGGAAAGCCCCTGAGGCGCCGGGAGCAAGAAACATGCAGGGCACTGCCACGCCTGGGACCAGTCCGGGGCTGCCCACTGTGCACAGGACGACGCTCCTGGTCTGCAGCTTTATCTTGGCAACAGCGTTGGGTCAAATGAATTTCACAGGGTGAGTGGCTGCCCCAAGCGTGGGAGGGGAGCCGTGGGACCAGAGGGTGGTGGCCATGGGGAGAGGGGCCATCTGGCGGGGCCCTGATCAAGGGGGAGAAACAGTGACTTCGGTTCCTGTCCCGGGCCCACGGCTAGCTCTGGAGCCTCCTTCTTTTGTGCTCCAGGGCAGTTCAAACTAGAGTTCTTCAGGTTTCAGGTGCCCAAGAGTCCCCTGAAACCACAGGTGACTGTTTTCAGATATGCATTTTTTGGGAGATGAAGTGTTCATTTATTTCTTTAGATCCTTAAGGCAGTTAATTAGCCCCCAAAGACTGTGTACCCTGGCCAGAGATGGACGTGCTAGTGTCTTCCCTCCAATAGTAGGATTGGGATTCTACTGGAATTGGAATTAAGTGCCAGGCTCCAAAGCAGAGGAGACACAGCCCGTCCTCCAGGGTCTGAGCCCGAGGGGGAGGAGCCAGCACCGGGCCGGGCATCTGCCCCAGCAGTCCTCACACTGCGGGCCTCTTGGTTATGCTGCCTCCTATCCACCTCCAGCCACCCTCAGATGAGGCGAGGTGGGGTTACCTGATCTCTCCATGACCCTGGGGCTCCGTAAGAAGAGCTCTTGGGGCCACCAGTGGCCCTCCCAGCCCCACACCCATTCTGTTCTTACCCACATGTGTACACACACACACACACACACACCCTGCCCCCACCCTCCTTCCCCATCCTCCTCTCCCTGTCCTGGCTTCTGGCTCATCAGTAGCACCAATAGGCTTTCCTTGTTCCCCTGAGTGGTCTGTCCTCAGGGCTCTGGGCTGAGGGCTGTGTGGCTCCCAGAGTGAGAGTCCTTCTCCCAGCCTGTGTGGCACTGTGCCTCCCAGAACGTCTTCCCAGGTCCCCTCTCCCAAGCCGGCCAGCCAGCCTCCAGGAACCCTCTGCACAGCGTCTCTGCCCTTCCCTGCACTTTTCCAGAGACCAGGTTCTTCGAGTCCTGGCCAGAGACGAGAAGCAGCTTTCACTTCTCAGGGACCTGGAGGGCCTGAAGCCCCAGAAGGTGAGGCCTCCTCAGGGCCTGGGGATCCCCACCCCACACCCGCCCTGCTCATGTCTCTGTCAAAGCTCACAGAGCTGTGGAAAGATCACACGTGGGACGGCTGGGCACACCTGCCCGGGAGGCCTGGCAGCCTTTTAGGCCGTGTCTCCCACAGCTTCCTCTGCTGTCCTTGGGGGGGGGGGGGGGCTGCTGACGGGACCCTGCCCGGGAACCTGCTCTGCACACAGCGGGAGTGTCCTCAAGCCTCATGGGGACACATATGTCTCTGGGTGGGAGGGTTTATGGCTCAGCAACGGACGCATCTGTTCCCTATTGTGATGGCTTAGCTTGGCAAACCCATATCATGGTCGAGTTCAGCTCTGGTGGCTTGAACGTTTGTTTCCAAGAATTTGTCTTCTGCAAGTTTTCCCGGTGGAAAACATTTTCTCCAGCTAGGATTTTGTATGAGGGCTGTGGGAACCGCCAGGTATTTCTGAACAAGGCCGCAGCCCTGCTCCTTTTGGAAGTGTGTCCCTTTTGGTGGGAACTCAGGACACCTCCTGTAATTCTCTCCCTTTTACAAACTGAAAAGTAGCTGTGGGTGTGGTGAGGAGCCAGCTGAAGCCTGCCCTGCATCTACTGGAATTGGGAGCAACGCTGGTGGCTCTATTTTTGTTGTTGTTGTTAAAGATTTATTTATTTGAAAGTCAGAGTTAGAGTTAGAATTAGAGTCAGAGAGAGAGAGGAGGGAGAGAGATTCTTCCACTTGCTGGTTCACTCCCCAAATGCCTGCAACAGCCGGGGCTGCAGCCAGAAGCCTGGAGCTTCATCCTGGCCTCCCACTTGGATGCCGGTTCCCAAGTCCTTGGGCCATCTTCCGTTGCTTTCCCAGACCGTTAGCAGGGAACCAGATTGGAAGTAAAGTATGAACTGGAGCCCAAATGGGATGCCAGCATCCCAAGCAGTGACTTAAACTGCTGTGTTAACAATGCTGGCCCCGTATCTGCTCCTCTGGCCTGGTTCTTGTCTGTGTTAGCATCCCCGATGATGAACACTCTCCCTGCTAAGAAGCCCTGTAGGGCTCTGCAGATCCACACAGCGCTGCCATGTGAGTGAGGCTGCAAGACAAAGGTACTTGACGTTCGGGAAAGAACCACCAGACCGTCCTGGCCTTTCTGCTCAGGTTTAGGTTTTTCACTCTGGTCAGGAGCCCTTTTAAGTGTACAAGAGAAGTTCAGCTTGCTCTGCCCAGGGCCTACAGGATTGGGTGTGCAACTGATGCATTTGTTTCTTTCCTTTGTGAACAAGGTGGACTTCTGGCGTGGCCCAGCCAGACCCAGCCTCCCCGTGGATATGAGAGTCCCTTTCTCAGAACTGAAAGACATCAAAGCTTACCTGGAGTCTCATGGGCTCGCTTACAGCGTCATGATAAAGGACATCCAGGTGAGGCCCCCCGCCCAACACACACACACTGGGACGGAGGCTGGGGACTCCCCTTCCACGTTCCTTCTGGTTGGGCTCAACGTGGAGGGAAAACACACAGGCTTAAAAGTGGGCGTTTTGGCCAGTGCCACGGCTCACTAGGCTAATCCTCTGCCTGCAGCACCAGCACCCTGGTTCTAGTCCCAGTTGGGGTGCCAGATTCTGTCCCGGTTGCTCCTCTTCCAGTCCAGCTCTCTGCTGTGGCCCAGGAAGGCAGTGGGGGATGGCTCAAGTGCTTGGGCTCTGCACCTGCATGGGAGACCAGGAGGAAGCACCTGGTCCTGGCTTTGGGTCAGCGCAGCGTGCTGGCCGTAGTGGCCATTTTGGGGGTGAACCAATGGAAGGAAGACCTTTCTCTCTGTCTCTCACTGTCTAACTCTGCCTGTCAAAAAAAAAAAAAAAAAAGTGGGCGTTTTGTGACCAAGTCTCCATCTGCATGTTTGTGAACATGCCAGGGGAGAAATGAAATCTACACTTCTCAGAGAAAAGGTGAGCCCAGTACAGAGTTCATGGGGTGGGAAGCACTCTCACAGTGGCGATGGTAAGGACGCTGATAGGGGAATGTCCTTCTGCAAGGATTTGCAGCTAACAGCAAAGAACTGGGCTGGGGAGCCGGGGAGAATGGAGGTGGGAGAAAACAGGAAGGGTTTTCAAGCAGTTCACGCAAAGGCACATTATTAAAAAAAAAAAAATCTATGCATGGAGTCCACAATTTTTTAGTACCAAAATAAACATCTATGTTTGAAAGGCAGAGTGACACGGAGAGGAGTAACAGAGAGAGACAGAGCTCTTTCATCTGCTGGTTCACTCCCCAAATGCCCACAATAGCGGGGCTGGGCCAGGCTGAAGACTGGAGCTCCATCTGGGTCTCCAGGTGGGTGGCAGGGACTCGAGTACTTGCACCACCCTTGCTGCCTCCCAGGCACAGTGGCACGGGACCTGGTCAAAGGCACTCCAATATGAGAGAGAGGCAATGTCTTCAGCTTCCCCCTGTGTCCTGCATGGGGCCCGCTGACTGGACCCTGCCCGGGAGGCTGCTGTGCAGGATCAGATCTGCATTTCATTAAAACCCGCTGCACCACAATGAGTCCGCCAAATGTATCTTAATTCCACCTTCTGTGAACTTTCTACAGGAAGCCAGCATCCTGGGCTCCCAACCTCCCTGCCCCCGCTCGGTCATGCTCGTTACAGGGTCTTTTCTGAACACCAGGGAATTCTGTTTTCAAGGTTCTTGCTTCAAGGACAACCCAAAGCGCCTCTGAAAGGTGCTGGCAGCACAGCCTGCTTCCTAAATGCTGCTCCTGACTGTACCCGGGGGACTGTGGCCACACAGACTCCCCGCCGACTGTGCTGTCCACCCTGATCTCCTGTCAGGGTCTGCAGTGTGGGAACACGGAGCCTCCTGGAGCACACACTTGACACCGCATGCCAGGGGATAAACGCATTAGGCCGCATTCCTTTCCCAGGCGAGCACAGGGCTGGGGCTTCTGGGGCCATTGAAAGGGGTCCACCCCTCATCAGGCACATCTGTTTCCCGCTCAACATGTGGGAGGGGGGATGCTTCTCTATTTAAATCCCCCACAAACAAAAATAGGAAAACTCCCACAGACAAAAGAGGCCACCACATCAAAAGAAACAGAACTGAGTTCTCATTTTTAGCCCAGGCCTCCATTTTGAAGTTTGCATCTCTCGGCCTCTGTCCCGCCCCGGGAACCCCATAGCATTTGGCAAACAGATATGCGAAGTCTCAAAAAACTTCCTGTTGGTTTCTCCATGTCAAGGATAGCCCTGGAGTTGCCTTTGAGCCACTGCTGCCACCCCCAGTGTTCCGTACTCCTTTCTGCCTGTCCTCTCCTACTGTTGTCCCCAGCCCAGAACCCCTCTGGGCTCTGCACTGTCTCTCCAGAAAATGTTCCGGACTCTAAGCCCTGACCTGGCCAGGCAGGATTGTCACCAAGTCCATCAAGCTGGACTGCCCTGCTCCAGATAACACTGGGGCTCAGGCAGCTGGAAGTGAGGAGAGGTGGAACTGTGTGCGGGGTTGATTTGTAGGATGATGGGGAGAGGTCCATGGAGGAGAGCTCAGGGTGGCTGGCTTACAGGATGGCTAGGGCTTTGCACTGCTCAGCCTGTGGGTGTCCAGTCTTTTCTCAGACGCAGACGCACAGGCCTGAACTCTCCCTGTCCTTCGGTTGTCTCCGTCTCGGTATTTGGCCTGATGTCCCCTGCAGAGTAAGCCCTCAGGGATTCTCTGCTGAAAGTTTGTCTGTCGGCTGGCTCGGGACGAGTGTCTCCAGAGGGGGACCTTGGTAATACAGTGGTCTTTGCTTCCACAGGCCCCTGGCTCGCACCCCTCCAGGCTCAGCAGGGGCTTTGGAAGGGCTAGCCGAGTTAATGGAGGATGGGAGGTGAGGACGGAAGGGAACAGGAATCTGAGTCTGGCAGACCAGGCTAAGAAGGAGCACGGAAAACAAAACAGGTTTTCACGGGGGCCAGAGGCACCGGAGCTTCTTAAGGAAGGCGATGGTCCCTCCTGTCCTTGGTCTGATCAGAGGGGTGCTTGGGGAAGATGAGACACTCTGGTCCATTCATTCCTCGTGCAGATAACAGAGACGCCTACCATGTGCTGCCTATGGGGGAAGATGCTGGAGATTCAAAGCTGAAAAACCCGATGCCTGTATCCAGGGGAGTTGGAGAGTCTGGGGGGGATGGGGCGGTGGGGGAGGAACTGGGTGATGACAATGGCAGGGAAGAGTGGGGTCGGGGCTGAGCGGTTGCTATGGGAGCACGTGGAGAAGGTGGTAATTATGGTGGCTGAAGAGGGGCCGGGGGCTGGGGAAGCGAAGGCCCCCTCCCTGACTGGCCAGAGGACATCCTCTGCCCCTGAAGAGGTGGGGGTTTTATCCTGAGAACTGTGGGAGCCCTCAGAGGAGCCCAGCGTGGTCAGCTCTGCGTTTCATAAAGACCACTCTGACAGTGACAGCACTGAGCTGGGGACAGGGCCGGGAAGACTGACAGGCTGGGGGGTAGTGAGGAAATTGCGGTGGGCCAGGCAAGAAATTATCTGATTTTGAGTGAGCTCTATTTGCATTTAATTTTTCCTCACCTCCTCGTTCTTTTCAGCCCTTTGGTGGTGGTTTTTTTTTTTTTTTTTCTAGGATGAGTCACCATGGAAAAGCTTCACTTGAGCAATCAGCTCTGTGGATTTTAATGGCTTTTTTTTCCTGATTACAAAATTAATAAATATTCATGCTAGATAATTTGGAAATAAGGGAAAAGCACAAGAAGAAAACAAAGATCACCCATGCTCTGGCCATCTTGAGTGGAATACAATTTTGTGTACACACTGCTTCATCACCCCCCCCCCCCCCCCCCCCGCTGGCTCACTCCCAGCACATGCTCAGAAGTATTTATCCCATCTTAGGAGTCCCTCTGGATCCCTTCCCTGCCCCCTCCAGCCAACAGCCCACCCCTCTGCTCCCCTGTGGAGCAAACTCCTAGCGGCACGGGCCGTGCTCGCCATGCCCACCCTTCCTCTGAGGCCCACCGCCCACCCCTCGTCACACTAAAGCCACCCTTGACAACTCCTGCTCCCACCTGGGGGTCAAGTCTTCCTTTGGGCAGCTTGACTGTTGGCTCCCCTGCCCTGAGTCATATCTGTTCTCGGAGTGTCCCGGACACTGCCCTGTCCCGGGTTTCCCAAGTTCGCTGGCTGCTCCTTGCTTACAGTTTTCACGTCCAGCGCTGTCCTCGGCCCTCTCTTTCATGTCCTCCCCCAGGATCGTGGCATTAAACACCTTCTGCTTTCTAATGACTGCCATCCCATGCCTCCAGTCACCACCTGGCTCCTGAATGCTGGGCTCCTGTAGCTGACCACCTGCTCAGCATTTCCACCTGGTGTCTCGTGGGCATCTCAGGGTTTGCAGGCCCAAACCAAGTGCCCCCTGTTCCTCCATCTGCTCCTCCACAGCTGTCCCCAGCTCAAGAAATAGCGATGCCATCCTTCCAGTCACTCAGACAAACTTGCACTCATTCTTTCTTCCAAAAAATATTTTTTTAAAATTTATTTATTTGAGAATCAGTTGGACACAGAGAGCTCCAATGTGCTAGTTCATTCTCCAAATGCCTGTAAGAGCCAAGGCTGGACCAAAGGCAAGAGCCAGAAACTCAATCCAGTTCTCCACTGGGTGGCAGGGACCCAGGTACTTGAGGCTTCGCCCGCTGCCTCCCAGGGTGCACGTTAGCAAGGAGCTGGAGTCAGGACCAGCCACAGAATCAGAGGACCCCGGGCACTCTGATGTAGGACACAGGCACCTTGACTGGTACCCAACTGCCAGGATAGATGCCTGTCGCTTTGCGCCCTCTTGATTCCTTGCTCACACACTTCACATCTAATCCATGCAAACCCCATGGGTCCTGCCTTCTCAGCACACCCCATGCTTCCACCCTGAGCCAACACGCCAACATCCCTCACCTTGCTTACTCCAGGAGCTTTCTGACTCTCTCCCCTCCCTGCTCTCGCTTCCTTAGTGTTCCGGTTTCTAAACAGCAGCCTTAAAAATATGGAAGTTCAATCAAGTTACTCCTCTGCTTCACGACCTCCAGTGGCTTCCCAACTCAGAGTGAAAACTGAAGTTCTTAAGAGGGTCACAAGGCTCCTCATGACTTGCTCCCTGCCCCATAGCCTTGCTCACTCTGCTCTACAAACAGGGGCTTCCCTGATGGTGAACCTGCCTGGGCCACTCCTGCCTCAGGGCCTTTGTGCTTTCTGGTCCCTCTACCTAGAATGGATAATTCCTTGCTTGCTTGCTTTCTTCCTTCCTTTCTTTCTTAAGATTTATTTGGTTTATTTGAGAGACAGAGTTACAGAGAGAGGCAGAGACAGAAAGAGAGGTCTTCCAACCACTGGTTCACTCCCCAGATGGCTGCAATGGCTGGAGCTGCGCCGATCTGAAGCCAGG